AAGTTTCAGAGTCCCTTCTGACAACCATTTTGGTCTTTTTTTTCTTTTCTGTCTTTTTAATGACCTTTTGCTTTCTTCTTGTATCATGTCTTTGATGTCATTTCACAACTCTTCTGTAGGGATAGATTTTTAAAAATATGTGCAAAATCTGTACACTGAAAATTACAAATGTTGCTAAGAGAAATTAAAGAAGAATTAAATAAATGGACATATAAACAATGTTCATGGGCCGGAAGACTCAATATTGTTAAGATCAATTCTCCCTACATTGAATACATTGATTTAGTACAATCTCAATGAAAATTCTAGCAGGATTTTTTTGTAGAGATTAACAAGCTGAGATAATAAAATTTAAACATAAATGCAAAGGACTTAAAATAGCCAAAAACAATTTTGGAAAAGAAGAAAAAAAATGGAAGCATGTGGTGTGTAGAATTCTAAAATGGCCCCAAGATTCCTACCACCTAGTGTGCATGCCCTATATAATCCCCCCCCTTTGAGTGTAAATATGATTAACTAGTTGTTGTCCCATTGACTGACGCATGGCAACCCCCTGTATGTTAGAGTAGAACTGTGCTCCATAGAAGTAGATCGCCAGACCTTTCTTTCAAGGCACTTGTGAGTGGACTCTAACTGCCAACCTTTTGGTTAGCAGCTGAGCTCATTAACCATTTGCACCACCCAGGAACTTTGTGGATATGATTAGATTATGTTATATGGCAAATGTGAAGGGATTTCCAGCAGTGGCTCCATCTAGAAGTGAAAATTACTTCATGCCCATTTTTGGATACCCAGACGAAACAAAATGTTGATCCTCACCTCACACAAACAGACACCTCTTAACCACCTCTCAGGCAGAGGGATGCACGCTTGATTGCACAAAGTCAACCTTCAGCAGAGACTCTCACAGTTTCCTTATCTATTTGGGCAGGGAATTCCAGGGTTATGGTAACCCAGGGTGTGACCTAGAAGGGGAAGGGTGTGGGCTCTGGTAGACAATGCATTTGACCCCAGGAACCCCTCCCTCCATGGGTAAGCAGGAGAGCGGAAGTGGTTGGAGTAGGGCCTCCCAAAGCAGGACATTTCAAACTTTTATGTGCATACAAATCACCTCAGGATCTTACTAAAATGCAGAATCAACGTATCTGGTCGGACCTGGGATTCTGCACATTTTATCAGTTCTCTGGTGATATGAGTGCTGGTGGTTCAGGAGACCACACTTTAAGTAGCAAGGCTGTAAAGCAGGGGCCCAGGTTGAAAAGCAGCATTGAATGAAGTAGGATGGTGCATCCTTGGTATTAGGGCATATGATGAGCTCTAAACTGGTACTGCATACTGTCACTTAGAATTGTCAGATCTGTGGGGCAAGAAGAAAGTGAAAAAATGAAGGAGGGGAGGGAAGTAAGCAATCTTCGAGTGTCCACTATGTGTCAAGTGCTCCACTCGTAGCTCTATATGTGGTATCTTTATATGTGATATAATTTAATTCATTGATAACCATCATTTCCCAGATAACAGCTTACAAACACAGATCAGTAGCTTAAAGATGTTCTTGCTAATCTTATAGAATCCCTGGTCTCAGACCTTCTACTTGTCCCAGTAACCAGATCCCTAGTGCCAGGAAACAATCCAGGATTCTCTTTTTCTAAACCTGTGCACAGAGCTTAAGGAGCCAGGAGAACATCCTAGTTGGTTCTGCTACAAAATCCTGCTTGCTGTTGTTGGGTGCCATTGAGTTGATTTTGACTCACAGTGACCCATGTGACAGAGTAGAACTACCCCATAGGGTTTTCAAGGCTATGATCTTTACAAGAGCAGATTACCAGGTCTTTTTCCAGTGGAGTTGCTGAGTGGGTTTGAACCACTACCCTTTCACTTAGCAGCCGAGCGCTTAACTGTTGCACCACCAGGAAGCCTTACAAAATCATATTATCAGATATCATTTGGGCCATCCCTAATTCTTCATAATCTTCCTCATTATCAACAGCAACATCCCAGATCATTTCCACTCTTTGTATTCAAGCCCTATTGACAACAATCAGCAAAAGTACTTGCATCCCACTTTAAAGAAGGGAAGAAAACTTCATCTGTGTTCGTAATTCTAGTCTCTTTCTTCTCTTGGGCTCTTCCTTTCTGTCTCCATTTATTCTGATTTCTAATCACTCAAAATATTGCCTTCGTGTTGTTGTCATCTGCCGTCAAGTCAGCCCCAGACTCATGGTGACCCCATGTACAACAGAAGGAAATGCTGCCTGGTCCTGCACTATTTCCATGATCAGTTGCAGATTGGACCATTGTGATACATAGGATTTTCATTGGCTGATATTCAGAAGAAGATCATCAGGCCTTTCTTCCTAGTTGTCATTGTCTGAAAGCTCCACTGAAGCCTGTTCAGTATCATAGCAACATGCAAGCCTGCACTGATAGATAGATGCATGGTGGCTGCACATGAGGTGCATTGGCTAAGAATCAAACCTGGGGCTCCAGCATGGGAAATGAGAATTCTGCCACTGAACCACCACTGTCTCATAAAATAAAATGTGTTTTAAAGTATTTTGTAGATCTCCTATTTTGTAAAATCATTCAAATCTTCCTTAGACCCTGTTACAGGTCTCCTGCAGCAGGCACACTTTCTCTTTCCCTCACTAACGCACTATCCTAAAAACGGAACCTCCTCTGCGGCTCTCCCAGTCTCTTGCAACCTGGACTTTGCTCCTACCAGACTACCAAAACTACCAATCTGAAGGTCATTCAAGGAAAAATAAGTTTACCCAATTTTTACTATTTAGTGTTTTAAGATTTAGCTATTTAAGAAAGCACGATAAATTTTAAATTTCTTTAGCAAATCCTTTCTTAATGAATTAAGTCCAAAGCTAAGTTTACCGAAGATTCCTTCTGCAGTATCACTAAAATTGTTGTTGTTAGCTGACTTTCAGTCATCTCCAACTCATGGCGACACCATGTACAACAGAACAAACATTGTGTGCGCCCGCGCCATCTTCACAGTCGTTGGTATGCTTGAGTCAATTATTGCAGCCACTGTTTACTTGGAGTGCCTTCCAGCCTAGGGGGCTCTTCTCTCAGCACTGTATTGTTAGTGTTCTGTTGTGATCCATAGGGCTTCCCCACTGGCTAATTTTCGTAAGGAGATCACCAGGCTTTCTTCCTAGTCTGTCTTAGTTTGGAAGCTCCATTGAAATCTGTCCACCATAAGTGGGCCCTGCTGCTATTTGAAATACTGATGGCTTCCAGCATCATAGCAACGCACAAACCCCCATAGTACAAAAAAATTGATAGGGATCAAAATTAATGAAGTTTTAGTGAGATTCCATTGATATGTGAAGCCTTGTGTACAAACAAATGCTATTAAAGTAAGTTAAAAGAAAGCCTTGACTTCTCTATTTGTTGAAAGGAAATATGCAATAATCTGTACTCCAGCCTGCTTTGAGGAGATAATATCGAGAGTTAATGTTATAAAGATTTACTAGAAAAAATGTACCTTATAAATGCAGTTACCATTGATTCTCAGTACATTTGAAGTCTGTAGTGGAATGGATAGTCCAAAATTGTGGATAATTCAAAAATCATTCATTGCACCTGGAACATTTTTTTTCTAGATCCTGATGATTGTTAACCTTAAACTAGTAATATATATGTATTTTTTCTTTTTTACATCTTGTGTAATTACCAAGTGACAGTGACAGTGGTTGACCCAAAAGCAGGGTAAATGACTGGGGACCCCCATCTGGTATTAAAACTATGTGTGTAATCTACAAGTGCCTGATGTAATTATCATGCAATGTGTTTTGTAGAACCATAAATGTTCATAACATCCTAGATTTTAAGGGTGAAATTTTTTTCCAGGCCAAAATTACACACGTCACAACTGACATAGCTGGAAAAGAACTTTTGGAAACTTTCTGATTGCTAGCCTTGAGCTATAACCACCAGATGTTTTATAAAAACTAGCACTAAAAATAATTTCTTATTTTTAATAATATAATGCGGTAACAAAGAGGACTTAACAATTATACAAAGTAAGTAAAAGTTGTTTCAGTTTTTAATATTCACGGTACATTTTTTTCACTCTGTAGTATTTATTATTTTGAGACCTCACCCAGCACAGACTTAGTCCCTCCTTTGGGGGTAGTTCCCGTTTCCATGCTACATTTATTGACATTTACAAAAGCATGCATTTTTTCCTTCTAAATTTTATGCTGAAGGTTAAGACCTTGGGCCACTCATTTCTTTATTTCATCTGAACACTTTTTCTCACCATTAGCCTGAAGAAATGTAAGATAATAAATTGAGTACTCTACTCTATTTTGATGATTATATTGCTGATGGGCCAAAACTAACCTCTGGAACCCAGATGAATTTATCAGTTATTCCAAGAGAATTAGTAATCTTCTTTGCCCTCCATATAATTTGCTTCTCAGTGCAGCTAAAACCCTGGCTTAGGCTTTATAAATTAATACATTTGCTTGAAATGTGACTTTTGGATATTTTATAGCAGTGGTTTCAATGCTGTTAGTGGTGAAATTGAAACTTGAGAATGTGAAGATTAATCTAAACCACATGATGGGTTCAAGGAAAAGGGACATAGACTACAGTTTCTTGAATGTGTGCTAGCTCTGTACAGTGGGGAATGGGATCAGAAGAAACCACAAGTGAACTTTTCAACCCTTTTGAGAGGAATCAAACTGATACAATTAGCTCTGAGATGGAGCTGTTCCTGATGACAGGACTCCTTTGTCCCGCAGAAATACAGAGAGAGGACACAATTGGGAGATCAAGGGAAGAGGAGAGACAGCCTAATTGTTACCACTAATGAGATGAAACTACAACTATCTTTCCAGTCATTAGCTGGTTTACAGATTTGCCTTTTTTTTTATAGATTCCAAGTCCCAGGGGGTTCTTTTAACAATAGATTTACATAACAATTTGTATATTGTAAATAGTTGGTGAATTGGAAATAAACTATTTCTTTTCCCTTCCAGTTTGTGGTATCGATGTTCTGGATCATTTATGCCTACGACAGAGAGATGATTTACCCGAAGTTGCTTGATAATTTTATTCCAGGGTGGCTGAATCATGGAATGGTGAGTGGACTTGAACAAATGATTTCCTTTTATTAAAAATATCTATTAAAGAGCTGTTTTTGAATGTAGACTTTCCATAGGATCTATTCAGCTGTGAAATGTTGGAAGATTATAATGAAAGATTATACTTAGAGAAGAATACTGTTTGTAAATATAAAACCTCTTCCCATGGAATTGAGTCGTTATTAAGATTATGTAGTAGATGAATCCATGGCTTATAAGAAGGCTCAGTGGTGGTAGATAATACCACTAGCTCTTTCCAGGGATGAATTTAATGTCTGTGCTGTAAAAAGGATTTGTCCCCTATTAGAGGGTAAGGATTGATTCCCAACTACATGACTATCAACACCTGCTCCACCTCCACTTTACATCATGGGATTGTGTTGCAAGTAACTATTGTACTTGGAGAATTTCTCCCCAGAGGAGCAGCAAGGCTGTTATTTTCCCTAAAAGATCATTGCAAGCGTTTGGGGGTGCCTTTAACAGTAGAGTTGTCTGCCTTGTCAGGTTCTGCCCATCCCAAGGTGTTTGTCTATAAATGCAAGAATTCTTCCTGCTTCTCAGTCTAATTAATTCTTTCTGATGTTTTACATGGTGTTACCTACACTAACTTCAAATCAAATACTTTGCATATTTGCACATCACTTCACAAGATTCAAGGCTGCATTTTCTGCAGAGAAATGCCGTGTCATCTTTCCATTCCACTTCTGGAATTGAGCATTGTTTTGTTATTAACTAAGAAGCCTGCTTTTTGGCTACAGCAATTTTTAGAATATGTCACTGGGTGTTCCTGGTGAAAAGGGCAACCCATCACAGAAATTATAGGGAAACGAAGAGCTAGAAATCACGAGTCTTGAGTCCGAAAGAAGTTTCCCTTCTGCCCCCTATTTTGGTATATTTTAAGAAAAGTGGTAAGTATTAACAAATAAACATTACTGAGAGGCTTTGAGCAATCCTTTCTTAAGCCAACTCATCGTAAGTGGGATTTTCTTTGATTCTAATTAGAGCAACAGTGGTGGATTAACATGGCATCTCTGGTCTAGTTTCATACAAGTAAGTTGAGTCTAGTCTGTTCAACTTAACTATCGAAGAGGCTTGACATGGTTACTCTGCCACTCTCCAACTTTCTACTTTTCTTGAATGTGAAAAGTCCTTTCATAAATCCATGAATTTAAGATCCTCTGCCCTAAATACCCTTCCCAATTCTTTATTGCCATGTCCCTGCTTATCTTTGTTGTTGTTGTTTGATGCCGTTGAGTCAGCCTCCAACTCATGGTGACCCCATGCACAATAGAATAAAACACTGTCTGGTTCTATACCATCCCCATGATTGGTTGTGGCTCGGACCATTGTGATCCATAAGGTTTTCACTGGCTGGTTTATGGAAGTAGATCACCAGACCTTTCTTCCTAATCCATCTTAGTCTGGAAGCTCCACTGAAACCTGTTCAGTATCATAGCAACACGGAAATCTCCACTGACAGACAAGTCAAACCTAGGTCTCCCACATTGAAGGTGAGAATTCTACCACTGAACTACCACTCCCCCCTTACCAGTTTCTGTGGAGTCAACTCTGACTCATGGTGACCCCATGTGTGTCAGAGTAGAACTGTGCTCCACAGGGTTTACAATGGCTGATTTTTTGGAAGTAGATCACCAGGACTTTCTGCCAACGTGCCTCTGTGTGGACTTGAACAGCCAATCTTTTGGTTAGCAGCTGAGCAGGTTAATCGTTTGCACCACCCAGGGACTCCACTAACTCCTTAAAGTTAGCTTAATTGCCACCTTCCCTATGAAGCTTTTCCTAACTCCCCCAAGCAAAGTTAGCTAGTCTGTTATTTGTGCTTGCACAGCACCTCTTTCATATCTGTATTATACATGACTGTATCCCCCACAAGAATGTTAAGCTACTGGTGCAAAAAACAGCCTTTGAATCCTGAGCACTTTGCCCAGTTGTCTGGCATATAGCAGAATCAATACATATTTATTAAGTTGATGTATGAATTCAGAATAGCCAATTTCCATAATTCTTTGCCAGTTAATACTAATAGCTGCTATTATTGAGAACCGACTGTGTGCAAGACATTCTATAGTTGTTGTATCATTTAATTTTCACAATAGTACTATGAACTAGGGATTATTATCACATTTACAAATGAAGAAACTGAGGCTTCAAAAGGTTATATAATTTGCCCAAAATCACTTAGCTCAGGGTAGTAGAACTGGGACCTGAACGTAGGCCTATCTGATCTCAAATGTGTACTTTTTCTATTACTTTATATTTTATCTGAATAAAATATTAATTGATTCTTCATATAAATTGTAATTTTGTATAGTTTTTTATATAGCTGATAAAGTACAGAAGAAACATCTTCAGGATATTTTGAAGTATAGTTTCAAACTATGTAGCGTAATTTAGCTATCTGAGATAAAACAATCAATAATTAGGTAGCATTTTTAGAAAAAGATTTCAGGACATTCATAACCCCTAAAAGCAGAGTTGCAAATGGAGATGAACCTTGCACATAGCCATTCCAGACATTAAACCAAGAAAAAATTGTCACATGCCCAGTGAGGAGCAGACTTCGGTCACAAAGCAGGCATATTCTTGTACAGTAATCATCCTTTGTGGCATTATCTCAAAATATGAGGAAGAGTGATGTCATCTAGATAACTTTTCATTTTGTGCCCAAGCTGTATGAACTAGCAAAGTGAGACTTAAGAAGCTGCTGCCTACAGTTGAATCTGTAATAATGTCAAAGACGGTTACCTTTTTTCTGACACCAGAAAGGGATCAGCTGAGAATAATTGATTATGTGTTATCGAAGTTCAGTCCTTGACTATTTGGGCTACTGCCTCTGTCCCTAAATTGCACAAGATTGCCATCAGGCCAGAGAATGAATCACAACCATGTCAGGTCCTGGTTCTAAATTTGTAATGTTTTGAACAAATGACTTATTAAGCAGCATGTATGCAGCCATTAGAACTTCAACTTGAGTCTACTTTCATAATTTTACCCTCTCTCTTTGATGGGTTCAAATCCTCACTCTTAGGGATAAACACTGCTTAGAAATGCAAGGAAGGTTTGAGTGACACAAATACTTGGGTAAGAGAAAAGATAAATTAATTAACGCCAAGTCCTCCCAGATAATATGAGCTCAGTAGATTCTTTCATGATGAACTTTGTTTCCCAGTAGAGCTGAATGTCCGTTTCCTTGCTGTTCTTTATATTCCAGTTCCTGGTTCCAGAGTTACCAAAAATGTCACACATGGTGGCTGAGGAATACTTTGCAATATTAAGCAATTTACATTACTCTAAATTTGTAATATACGTAGCTCCATACTTAAAATACATAAAGCATGATGCTGATTCATTACATTGGCAAGTAAAATATGGACATTAGATGCTAGAATCATGAATAATTTAATTTTTTAAAAAATATATAGTAAGATTTAATAAATTTCAAAATATTAAAGAAACATTTTCATCTTTGTTTAAATAATTCAATCTAAAAATTTGATAATTGTTAATTTGTTTGCTTTTAATCTGAATAGGTAACTAACTTTTAAATACTATTTTTAAAATATATGAAAATAATTCAATTTTTAAAGTTTTACACTTATTTTAATCTACATATTTTGATGAAGACATGCAAATTGTATATAATTATAATTACATTTTATTTTTTAATTGGTAATTTAGATTATTGCTATCGGTAGAGTTCATATCTTGTAAAGAGTTGCTTATAATAACATAATTTAGTGATTTTGCTGAAATAAAGGCAAGAATAATAAAATTTTGGAATATTTATTATATTTAAATATTTAATTTTTTGTACATAATTTATAAATATGTATATCTTTTTTCTAAAAACTCATCAAAATGCATATATTTTCATTTTCTTTTATGCCAATAAATCTGAATATGTGGGAGGATAGAGCATGTTTTATTTAGTACTTCACTAGCTTCATTTATAACTTTTAAATATTTATGTACACTGTTTATGGCCCACTAAGTCTGTCTGCCATTAACCTGTTTAGATCTTTCTAACTAAAAGAATTCCAAGAGAGAATGTACCCTGTTCTTATGTTTGAAGAGTCTCAACATAATATCTAGGAATTAAGGGCCCTGAACCACAGAAATGAAATGCATTTTATAAATATATCATGACATCATTTCAGAGGGTGTCACCATGTCACTCTTGAATCTGCAGCATTCAAACTGCCCAGCACAAGAATAGTCAGAAAATGGGCATGAGAAAACTCAGAGGATCTGAAGCTCAGGGCCTTTACTTAGACTTACACCAAAGTTGCCAGAAGCTAAACATGAAAACATCATATGTCTTCCCTTCCATTGTCTACCTGTTTTCTCTCTCAACTAATTCTAGAATTTATTTGAAGAAGAGAAGAGAAAATGAGTAAATAGATGAGTTAGAACAGTATCCCAACCTCGGTTGTATGATTGTTAGATTATCTCCAGGCTCCATGAAAATAGTCAGAAAACAGTGAATTTTAATTCACTACAATTAAAAACAAACAAACAAACAAACACAACACATTTAAATGAAGTTGTTTCAATATCCCAAATCGAAAATTGCTCCATCCTTTCAGGGGTCCTGGCTTATTTAGCTTTATATTCCCAGCAACTCAAACAGTACCTGACACCCATGTTGACGATAAAAAAGATGTTTGTACATTTGGTTGTGAAACTTGGTAGAAATGTCTCCATTATCTTTATATCCTTTTATCACCTTTCCATCTTCTGTCCATTGATGATCAGACCAAAGGAAAGTGGTGGCATCAGCAAATGGATCATTGTTTCCATTATGTAATTGAGAATGGTATTGATTAGGGACAGTTATGGTGGAGTTCAGCAGGGCTTGCAACATGTGAGGCTGAGCTTCTATTTAATTCAACCTGACAAATATTTATTGAAAACCTACACAAATGTTTATTGCAAACCCTACCTATGCAAAGCACACTGGTGGGCACTGTGGAGTT